ACCCACATTCCAAAACAGGGTACAGCTGTGAAGTGTGAAGTGGCGGTGTCACCTCGACGTCCTTCTCCCCATTCTACCCGTCCTCCCAAATCTCCCAACTCCCTGCCAACTGCCGCGTAGCAAGCTAGGGGAGGCTATGTATGAACCCGCTTGTACCGTGAGTAGCAAAGGGTAGCAAAATTTGAAAACACGGCAGTATAGTCCAGTTCGCCGCGGACGAAGGGGCGTGTCAGGTGGGATGAGTTTGGCGCGGTGCCAAGCCCGTTCTCCACCAACTATTGAAACGAGCAAGACTGTATCATATCGTTCGTATCACTCGTGTCCTTCCTTTTGTCGCATGCCTGCTTCAGCAGTTGTCAGAGAACGAGTTTGGCGCCGTGGCACTCTCACACTGGCTAGCACGACCATTAATCCGCAGGGAACTAGAGTATATCCTTTGGAGTCTCACTTACCAGTTCAAAGTAATTGGAAGAAACCTATACTGGAACCATTTTCACAACTTTTGCGTTCAATCAGATCTTTTTCCAATTACTCGAAATACTACGGGAACGATCACATCTGAAGGCTACCAGAAATTTTTTTCGTAATAATTTGTATGCAATTCAGAACCCCGGGCGTGTAAAGCTTGCCGAATCGATGATCCAGTTCAAAAACGAGAAGACCGGAAAGTTGAGCACAATCAATGCCTCAGATTTGGATGGCTTGAATTGGCAGAGGCTTGGGAATCGACCAGGTATCAAAATGCGTTGTTCTGACGGGAAGAAAATCCGCTTTGGTGGCTTCAAGGATTCGGTGAGTTGGACCATAAGATTTATGGCTTCTTCGCGCATTTTATACTGCTGGCTTTCAACGTATTGCCTAGGACCTGGATAAAATCAGGCAGTTTGCTCAGAAAAATTGGCATAAGGAGGTGGAACATAATGACCTCGTGCTAAAGGGTTGGAACTATGGGAACTGCCAAGTCGACGGTATGTCTTTACATGGATTTCGTGGTTTCATTTTCGTACTTTTTTATTCCAGGACAATCCGTCGAGTTCACCCTGGATAACAAACCAGTATTTGAAGTTCCGCTTTCAAATGTCGCTAACTGTGTCGGAAATAAAAGCGAAGCAACACTCGAATTCCATCAGGTTCGGTTCATCATTGAGCAGTGTGGTTTTCTTTAAATAGGATCTTCGCATGTTTTTGTAGAATGACGACTGTCCCACGTCTCTCATTGAAATGCGCTTCCACATGCCTGCAGATGTAGAAGATGAGGAATCCGACCCCGTTGAGGTTTGTGAAGGGCAGCGAATAAGCTCACCCTTCTGACTGAATGGTCAAACTGTATATTGATTTCATGGGCCCATGTTTTTTTTCAGGAGTTCCGTAAAGCTGTAATGGCCTTCGCCGGGATTGAAACTGAGACTGGGCAACCTGTTGCTTCATTGCAACAGATCCTATGTACTACTCCTCGGTATGTCTTGCGGACCTTATTTGAACTTCTGAGGGCAGTCCGGCAAGGGGAGAGGGGCATTTTGCACTTTTGCTACTTCGTATTCATTCATGTCGACCCACCAGATAGGCATTTCATGGGGGAAGTTGACAGTTTTCACCACGGCTGGTGAATGGTGCTCCAACTTCACAAGGGTGCACACGTTTCATTCACGTCCTCATACAAATAACTCATTTTTAGAGGACGGTACGATATCAAAGTGTTTCCGAATCACTTGTCTCTTCATGGAAAAACTTACGATTACAAGATTCCTATCAAGACAATCATGCGTCTTTTCCTTGTTCCCTCACAAAGATGGCAGACACGTGTACTTTGTTGTAAGTGCTATGTTCTAACTGTTAATTACTCCTTTTCGTAAGCTTCCCTTTCCTAGCAATGCTAAAAAGA